TACATTTGAGAGTTGATGGCTCTTAGAGTCATGGCCAGTTCAACTGATTTGGATCACCAGGGAGTGAGTGCAGAGAGAGGAAATAAGAGGACTGAGCTCTAGGGACTTCCTGGGTCCATCTTCTGGGATACGCTGGTGTGTATGCCTTGCAGGGCTGTTCTATACTGTTAAGCAAATATAGAGAGGGCGTGCCTTTCTCATAAGAGTAAACATATTATACATATGGGTGTGTACCTTGCTTGCTTTTCAGTTACCAATATGTCTTAGACATGGTTCCCAAGTGGTATAGAAACATTGTTTTTGTTCTTTTTGAGGGCTGCATGATATTCCATTCGGTGGACATGCCATAATCTCTCTCTCTCTTCCTCTTTAACATTTTTACTATGGGTCGCCTGGGTGGCTCAGTGGGTTAAAGCCTCTGCCTTCGGCTCAGGTCATGATCTCAGGGTCCTGGGATTGAGCCCCACATCAGGCTCTCTGCTCAGCAGGGAGCCTGCTTCCCCCCCCCCTCTCTGCCTGCCTCCCTGCCTACTTGTGATCTCTCTCTCTCTGTTAAATAAAGAAATAAAAAATCTTAAAAATTTTTTTTTATTATGGGGGCTCTTGGATGGCTCAGGCAATTAAGTGTCTGTCTTCAGCTCAGGTCATGATCCTGGAGTTCTGGGATGGAGCCCCATGTAGGGTTCCCTGCTCAGCAGGGAAACTGCTTCTGCCCCTCCCCCTGCCCCTTCTTTCCCCACCTTCTCTTTCTAATAAATGAATAAACAATATCTTTTAAAAGTAAATAAAATTTTTACTATGGAAAATTCCAAATGTATACAAAAACTAGACAGAAAAATAGAATGAATCCTCTCCCCACTCTGACCCATTACCCAACTTCAGCAGTGATCGATGTGGCTAATTTTATTTCATCTGGACCACAATACGCTCTCTTTCTTCCAAATCATTGTTTCTTGGTAATTTGTTATTTTGATGTAATTGCAAACTTACCCTAACATCTATTTTTTTTTTAGTATATGTGTTCCAAAGTGAGCACCATAACATCTATTTTTAAGGATATTTCAATTGTGTATAATAATTTACTGCTGTAAACAGTATAGTAAAGAAATACTACAACATGCCTATTCACAAAGAACACATTCCTGGGTGCCCCAATGGACAAAGTTTGGGAACTGGAATGCTTTCAGAGCATCTCTCTTAAGAAATGGGTCCTGAGCACCAAACACAAATCCCAGCATTGCAGAGATCCTTTCATTGGGAAAGTCTCCTGGCCTTGGCCTCTACATTTCTGTTGTGTGTTTGTTCTTTTTTTAAAGACTTATTTATTTATTTATTTGAGAGAGTGAGAGACAGGGAACGAGCAGGAGGGACAGAGGGAGTGGGAAAGAGAATCTGAAGCCGATTCCACGCTGACCATAGAGCCCAATGAGGGGCTGGATCTCATGAACCTGAGATCGTGACCTGAGCTGAAATCAGGAGTCAGATGCTTCACCAACTGCCCCACCCAGTGCCCATGCCTTTCCATTTCTGGCCCCAATTCCAGTGTGTGGGTTTTCCCACATCACCAAGCAATTGTCTAACACCAGCTGGGTGTTGTTAAAAGACAGAAACTTAGACATATTAGCAATTTATAAGAGTTTGAGCAGGGGCGCCTGGGTGGCTCAGTGGGTTAAGCCTCTGCCTTCGGCTCAGGTCATGGTCTCAGAGTCCTGGGATCGAGCCCCGCATCGGGCTCTCTGCTCAGCAGGGAGCCTGCTTCCCCCTCTCTCTCTGCCTGCCTCTCCACCTACTTGTGATCTCTGTCTGTTAAATAAATAAAAAATATTTAAAAAAAAAAAAAAAAAAAGAGTTTGAGCAAAAATTGGTTAGAAGAAGGCAGCATCCTATCTAGCAGATAGAAAAAAGCACAGAGGAGCTGTATGAAAGACTTGTATAGGCAAAAGGGAGCAGGAACAAGGAAGTCATACTAGGCGAAAAAGATGGGTGGTTATCACAAGGTTGCCAAAGTTACTTTCCTTTAAGAGATGATGAGAATCTAGTAAGCTGATTACCTAACTAGTGCTGATCAGGTGATTTCTCATTGACTGGTTTAAGATTCCACTTCTGGAAGAGCTGAAATTGTAATGAAGTTATTAGTTCTCAGCTCGTTGACATAGGGCTTTGCATAAGTGACTCCATTTTGGGCCAGTTGTCCTCCTTTTACTTGTGTCGTTGGGATTCAAGGCAGGCTGCCCCCATTATGCCAGTTTGACTTTTGGATTATTTTGAATTAAAGTTCCTTAAGAAACAGTGCAATAAGGACATCATGATCCTCTTTTATCTCCCTGAAAGCAAGAAATAAATTTCCCATGTGAAGGGTACCCGGGCAGAAGACATCCTTATCACCAGAGATAGGGAACTGAGGGTCCAGAATGCTGTATATATAAACCTTGCTTACTCCTTCACTACTTTGCTACCCCAAGCTCCAACTTTTTTCTCTTGTCAATTCTTCACAGATTTATTATTTCTTTATCTAAAAGGTAAAAAAAAGCTGCCTGCTTTGGTTACTTCTTTGAGTCTTATATTTTTATGAGTTCTCATAGGTACAACACTAAATTTGCTTAGTTAGCCTGTGACTCCCTCTTATGTCAATTCAATGATTAGGCCGGCCACAGAACCTAGGTAGGAGGAAGGGAAAAGTTTTCCCTCCCCTACAGTGTCCTACAACTCAACTCAATTCCGTCACTATTTACCTGGAGATCAGTTCCACATGTTAAGGGTTCAGCCATATGATACTGCCTCCACCCCTTCAGAACCCAACAGGAAACTCAGGTTGTCACCTGTGCTTCTGAGGACCAGCTAGCTATAGATGGGACATTCCCATGATCCTCTCCTCCACTTCAGTTAATTTGCTACAGCAGCTCACAGAACTCAGAGAGACAACTTACTGGATTGCAAGTTCATTACAAGAGGTTTTAACCCAGGAACAGCCAGGTGGAAGAGATGCATAGGTCAAGGTATGTGGGAAGGGACATGGAGCTTCCATGCCTTATTTGAGCTACCTACTTTCCTTGAACATCCAGGCTCTCTGCTGAACGCTGTCCCTTTGGGTTTTTAGGGAGGCTTCATGACCCAGGCATGATTGAATAAGTCATTGGCCATTGACGATTGATTGACTCTCCAATTCCCCTCTTCTCCCTTCTCCAAAGGTTAGGGGGTAGGACTGAGAGAGTTCCAACTCTAATCACTCAGTTGGCTCCCCTGGTGGCCAGCCCCCAATCTTAGGTGCTTTCCAAAAGTCACCTCAGGAACATAACAAAAGACGTCTTTCTCACTGTCATCACAGGAAATTCCAAGGGTTTTTGGAGTTCTGTGTCGGGAGCAGGAGGAAGACCAAATAAATATGTCTTACTATAAATCACAATATCACAGCCTATAACTGACTCTCCAGAGCTTTTGCCTGTGATATTTTAGAAGACCACAGGTTCAGACTAAAACCATACATGGAAAGACATTTTCAGAGTAAGCTTACCATACAGTGTCTTCTCTTTCTGTACTACTATTTTGTATGCAGGCACCTAGCAGTAACTTTTCCACAGGTGAGTGCCATGTGCCTGACAAACAGAAGTGGCCCTTCTCTAAACCCCTGCCCTAAGTCTTCACTCTGTGTTGTGCGTGTGTCTCCTAGAGTGGCTTTGCATGGTGTTAGCTATCCCAACACGTGTTCTCCTCTTCTCTGGGATGCATGGGGGATTGAACAAACCATGTCTGCTTCTTTCAGGGACTCTGTGGCTAATATAGGGCCTGTACTCCAGGAGGCATCAGGGAGCAGTTACTGCTGAGTATGACTATACCCTGCTCATTACAGAGGGCAAACTGGCCACCAGGCAGAACTGAATGGATTTTGTGCTTGGCTACCTTAGTGTTTAAATGAAAAGCTAAATTAGTGGCTGACATGTAAAAGATTGCATATAGAAATTTTATATAGAAACACTCTCTTCTCTTGAAAAATGGGAAGATGGGCCATGTTGGGCTAGCGTTCTTGCCATTCCTGGACCTGAGCGGTGGCTTCCTCAAGGCAGGATGCTGTTCTGATCTCCAGTCTCCATACTCAAGGGTGTCTTAAGCCCTGCTAATCTCTCTTCTTGAGTCATCAGCCTAGCCAGTGAAGACCCCTGTTGGTGACCCCTGACTGTCGGCTGTGGCTGACAAACCTTTTTAGTGGCTCCAGACACTTCAATAATCGTGTGAAAGTCCTGTACCCTCTCCAGTAGGAGCACATAGCATAACATTTTACATACTATCCGGGGCTCTGCAGCCCCGCCCAAGGCCGGGCTGCAGACTTGCAGGGCCAGAACTCCAGGGTCAGAGATGACATCTTTTTCTGCCACCTTCCAACAGTCTTTTGCAGAATTCCCCGGCTGGCTCCTGCTCAACATTCCAGCCTCAGCTCTGTCAGCAACTGGAGACAGGCCTTCCCTGGCCATTCATTGTAAAATTAGCTGTCCTCCCTTCTCTTGGCGCGCCAGTCCTTTTAAACTCTGCTTTAATTTTGCCTGGAAGTCTTCTTCCTCTCTGAAATGGTCTGGTTCAGACGTTAGTTCACCTGTTTACTGTCTGACCTCCACCCCCGCCGCAGTACAGTGTAACACGGAGAGAGTACCGTCTGTATCCCAGTGCCGTGAATAAGCAGTGCCTGGTACTCAGTAGGCACGTAATAACAGCCTGTCGAATGAATGGATGGACGGAACGGATCCCCCCGTTCTCAATTTCCTTGAGGCATCGGGTGGCAGGAGCCAGGTGAGACAACAGCCCCACGGCCGGCGACCTCGGCCAAGTCCCAACCCTGGAGCCCCCTCCTGCTGCGCGGTACCAGGCAGCGCCCGCGGACGGCGAGAGGGCGGAAGCTTCGAGGCCGGAACGGGCGTGCCAGGCGCGCGGGTTGCGGGGGGGCGGCTTAACCGGCCGGACCGCAGCGGCGGCCGCGGGAGGGGAGGGCCTGCGGGCGGCGGCGGCGGCGGCGGCGGCGGCGGCATGGCAGGTCGGCGGGTGAACGTGAACGTGGGCGTGCTGGGCCACATCGATAGCGGCAAGACGGCGCTGGCGCGGGCGCTGAGCACCACGGCCTCCACCGCAGCCTTCGACAAGCAGCCGCAGAGCCGCGAGCGCGGCATCACGCTTGACCTGGGCTTCTCGTGCTTCTCGGTGCCGCTGCCCGCGCGCCTGCGGGCGGCGCTGCCCGCGTCCCCGGCGGCGTCCGGAGCCGATCCCGAGTCCGGAGAGCCGCAGCTTCAGGTCACGCTGGTCGATTGCCCCGGGCACGCCTCCCTCATCCGGACCATCATTGGCGGTGAGCGCGGGCCGGGGCGGGAGCCGGGCTCGGGGACGCTGGGCGGAGCGGCCGGGCCCCGTGTCCGAGCTCGCCCGAGCCGCTGCCGGGGAAGGGGGACCGTCTCACCTCCCGGCGGGGCCCCGCCCAGGGCGCCAGAGGTGGATGGGGCTCGCCCGAGTCCCCGCCGGCAAGCGATCGGGGGTTCTGGGACCCGAACTCGCGGCCGGCTGACGTGGAAGCGCTTCCCACCCAGCACAACCGCGCAGGAAGGTGCTTCCTTAAAGTGTTGGGTTTATGGTTTTTGGCTTCTGTTTTCAAGAGGAGTTTGTAGTACACGAACAAGTCAGAAAACTCCAAAAGACTGCCAAAAGGGTCTATGTGAAAAGTGCCAACAGAAGAAGTCTTCACTCGTCCGTTCTTTGGTCTCCTGGTTCCCATTTCTAGTCAACCACAGTCAGCCGCTGTCCCAGTTCCTTGTGTCATTTCAGAAAAACTCCACGTAAAGACAAGCATACCCGTGTTGTACATAAACCCCCTCTTCTTTCTCTTCACAAAACGGTAACGCCGTCTACACTGTTTTAGTCAACACCAAGGTCTCCATATCTGCACACAAAAAGCTATATTATTATTATTTCGTAGAGAGGGAGAGAGAAACCTAAGCAGGCTCCACGCCCAGCACAGAGTCCCGGTGGCGCTCCATCTCGGGACCATGAGATCATGAACTGAGCAGAAATCGAGCCTTAGCGGACTGAGCCACCCAGGCGCCCCAAAAGCTATATTATTTTTAAGGGTCATATAAAATCCCATCGTACAGCTGTGCCAACGTTTTCTTAACTAACTCTTAATGAAGGACTCTTAAACGTCATTTTCAGTTTTGGCTAATGATGCTTCAGTGAATTTTCTAGAACAAGACTGGTGGGGGTGCTGATCTGGCTGTAGGGTATGCTGCTGGAACTGAACTGGCTTGGGCAAAGAGTACATGCATTTTCAGTCATGAGAGGTACTGCCAAAATGCCCTCCAAAGATGTTCCATTTAATCAATTTTTAATTATAAGGTAATACATGAATACATTCTGCTTGTGAAGAAATAGAACTTTTCAGATTAGGTAAAGGTCCCGTAATGGTCCCACCTCTTTCTCCAGAGGAAGCCACTATTATACCTTTGTAGCTTACTTTTCTGGGTACGTTTTTACTGCAATTAAATCTGTGGACAGGGCTTTAAAACATGCTCTGTTTTTAGAGGCACAAAAAGGCACAAAAAGGTAAACAGCTAAAAGAAGTCTCTTCTTCACTGCTGACCCAAGTATTTGGTTACTTTACTGTTTTCCACTGCCTTGTCTTTCCTTCCAATTCTCTACACCTACAAGCACATACGGGAATATATATTGGGCAGATGGTTTTATTGGTTTGGTGGCAGATGGCCTCATTGGTCGCTGGGCATACTGGGTCCCAACTGTAGTGATGAGTGTATTAAGTACTTTAATCTTTGTTACCTCCCAGCTGTTCCATGTTGTAGGCAGTCTGAGGTCATTTCCCCATTTTACAGTAGAGGAAGTGGAGGCTCAAAGGGAAGGGACCTGCCCAAGGTCACACAGCCTAAAGTCTTCTACTCAAGTTGTGTGTCCATCATCAGATGAATGTTAAGGGTCCTGTGATCCTCTCTACTCTTTTCCCCTTTCCTTAACAATTCTGTTTAGTCGAGTCCAGGTACATCTTCAGACATATACTCTGAGCCAGTCTGGGTTGGAGATGGAAGAGCCAGGTTAAAGTAAAATAAGAAGTCACTTTTAGGGTTTTTTTGTTGTTTGCTTTTTTAGTAAATAGTGTAGGTGAATAGTAAAGGGCATGCTTTTGAAGTCAGAACTGGGCAGGAAGCTTTTCCCTATACTAACTGTGCCCTTTGAAACTGATTTTGGGCCTTACAAACACTGGCAGATAGCAACCACACAGCTCTTTATTGGCTTTGCTTTTCTGCCATGTTTGCCACTTCCCCGGGCAGACTCTGCAAGGAGTGCAGTGGTTACCATTTAATAGTTGAAGAAATTGGAATATAGGGAGGCTGCTGGTAAGTGGCACACCAGGTCCCCCTGGTCCCAAAGCTGGAGCTCTTTGCCATGCTTCCTCAAATCACTTTGTACTTCCCCTGCACCCCTTCTAATATATCCATTTATAGAGAAGCACTTTGTAGGACAAAATGTTTCAGGTGCCAGCCTTATCCTATATAACCAAATTTTAATGACTCTAAGAACTTGGCAAGTCCTTAGTTTAGACGGCAAAACTATAAAAGAAGAGGAATTTTTTCTCTTCTTATAGGTACATCATGGCTCTTCTTTTCTCTCATCTCCTGAGTGAGGAGACTTTCTGTACCTTCTTTTTTTTTTTTTTTAAAGATTTTATTTATTTATTTGATAGAGAGAGAGACACAGCGAGAGAAGGAGCACAAGCAAGGGGAGTGGGAGAGGGAGAAGCAGGCTTCCCGTGGAGCAGGGAGCCCCATGCGGGCCTGGATCGCCGGGACCCTGGAACCATGGCCTGAGCTGAAGGCAGACGCTTAACAACTGAGCCAACCGGGCATCTCTTTCCTTACCTTCTTACAGGCATTAAAATGCAACCTGAACACAGTGGGATCGTGAGACCACGGCTGCCACTATCCTTCTTTCCATAGATCAGATTCTCACCCTTTTCAGAGAAATGAGAAAAAATGAGGGAAGGGGCGCCCACATTTGAGTACCTGTTCTGGCCCACGCCTATTGCTAAGAACTTGCATTTGTGCAACAGCCCCAAGTGGTGGGAGTGTTAGGCCTATTTTTCTGATAAAGGAACTGAAGCTTGGAAAGTATAAAGTACCCTGGGCTGGTGTTTACCTAACTCTGCCTCCCCTAACCTGGGTCTGGTTAACACCTTTAGTTATCCTCGTGGCTCATAGATCCATAGCCGTCTTTGCCTTTTTGAGATGGCCCCAGAGGCCAAATCCCTGCCTCTGGCAGCTGCTCTCCTACAATGCTGGGCCTTCTCAGGGACTGCCTGCCCTCCTCTTCCTGCTCCTCCATTTCCATACAGCATGCCGAGAACTCTCATGTCAGCCCTCAGCTTCAACACTTCCCAGTGGCTCCTCTTTGTGCTTAAAATGCCAGACTCTTGGGGGCACCTGGGTGGCTCAGTGGTTAAGCCTCTGCCTTCAGCTTGGGTCATGATCTCAGAGTCCTGGGATCAAGTCCCACATCGGCCTCTCTGCTCTGCGGGGAGCCTGCTTCCTCCTCTCTCTCTCTGCTTGCCTCTCCGCCCACTTGTGATCTCTGTCAAATAAATAAAATCTTAAAAAAAAAAAATGCCAGCCTCTTCTCTGTGGGCTGCAGAACCCACGATCTGGCCTCCGTTTTCCTCTGAGCTCATTCCTTGCTCCCGACCTTCAGTCTCACTGCCCTCATTTTTACTTATTGAATGGGCTAGTTTTGCACCTGCTGTTCCCTCTCTTTGGTACATCCAGCTACTCCTTCATATCTCAGCTCGAGTGTCCTGTCAAGAGGGCTCTTCTGAGCTGCCCAGCCAAAGTATCCTCGAATCTCTGCCCCACGTGCTTTCTCATGTCCCTATTTTACTGCCTTACAACCCTTTTCAGTATCTGATAACTCTCTATGTGTTTCCTTGTTGACTGTCTCTGTCCTCCATGAGAGCAGAGTAGGAATCATGCCTGGCTTATTTACCAGCATATTCTCAGCGTTTGGACCAGAGCCAGGTGTGTGGTAGGCATTTGGTAAGTCTGAATGGGGGAAGCTGTGTCCCACTTCCTGGGCTGGATGGTAAAAGTGAGCAAAGAACTTTCTTCATGGGTTAGTGGACAGAAAGCAATCAGCATGGGGCCTGGCTTATAATCGATACACTATGCATATTTCTTATTTCTCTAGTCTAGGAGCTAAGGACAGAGCTAGGGAGAGGGCGCTGTCCAATGTGCCAAGTGACCTATCAGAGCTTTTAGCATACAGGATAAAAGCAGGAATAACTTAACTTTGCTGGGCAGTGGGGTATAGAGCATGATGGGGGGAAAGAAGAGCTTTCCTGGTGGAGGAAACGCTTGGTCAGGGCTCCGTAGCTTAAACCTTCCTTTTTGTCTGTTCAGACTTAGAGGTAATGACCAGCATTTAGTTGTGGCTAGAAATCAGCATGGCGTGTGGGGAGGTGTGATGAAGATGAAGGTAGAAGGGCTGGTGGGCCAGAGCCTCTAGAGTGCTGAGTGTTGTTGAACTTAGATAAGGTTAGGCCCTGAGCATAGATTGATTTCTTTCTTTCTTTCTTTCTTTCTTTCTTTCTTTCTTTCTTTCTTTCTTTCTTTCTTTCTTTCAAGATTTAATTTATTTGACAGACAGATATCACAAGTAGGCAGGGAGGCAGGCATTGGGTGGGGGAAGCAGACTCCCTGCTGAGCAGAGAGCCCGATGCGAGGCTCGATCCCAGGACCCCGAGATCATGACCTGAGCTGAAGGCAGAGGCTTAACCCACTGAGCCACCCAGGAGTCGCACCTTAGCATAGCTTTCTTCTAAGGGCCTTGGCGGCGTTTTAAAGCAGGGTTGTGACAAGATCAGGCCTGAGCTTTAGGATGATGCAAGAGTCCCAGGCAGGCAATGCACCTGCACTTGGAATTGCTGGAAGACTGGGGTCTTGTTAGAATTCCTGGCTTGTTGTGAGTGATTTAGACCCCTTGCTGAATACATTAGCCCTAGTAGAAGGAAATGAGAATGATTGTCTCAGTTCTATGATGATATCTCTGAAGTTTAATATATCTTATATTAAAGCCAGTTCTCGTTGATTCTCTTGCTACCCCCCCAAAGTATTTTCGCTACCCAAAAGATTCCTTTCTTAGCTTAGAGAAAATTGGGCTTTATCTGCTTGATCCATGTGGCCATAGATAAAACTCCATGGTACCAGGGGGAGGTTAATAGTGACAGTAGTACTTAGCTTTTATTTAGTGCTGCCCTTAAGCTGTTTTTTCCCCCATTTAACACTCAAAGCAATCTGGTGA